CGGAGTGGAACGCTGGCTGTCCGAGGAGCCGGGGGGCTGTCCCCGTGGCCTGCGGCCCCGGGTTCCCAGCAGCAGCGCCCAGGCCCCCGCCCTCCGTGCCCTCTGTCCGGTTTCCCTGCCTCGTGGCCGGCCCGTGGGGGTCGGTGGCCTCTCACTCTGGATCTGACTCGATTTCCCTCGAGGCCCGTGGTGTGTGTCTTGCGTCTCATTGACCAGATCACCCCGTCACAGAGGAGGAGTCCCCTCTCGGCCCACAGCTGATAGGCCATGGATGTGGGGGGCAGAATGATGCTGCTCTCAGGTTTGGGGACGGGGGCCCTCCTGGGCCGGGGTCCCACCTGGGTTGGGGCCCCCTCTGCGTTGGGGGACCTCAGGGACAGGGGACCCTCTGGGACGGGGCCCCCTCTGGGTTGGGGTCCTTCCCAAACAAATCACCTCGGGTGCGTGACCTCCCCCAGCAATCCCCTGCCTTGCGTCCGACTCCCCAGCAGCTGGAGGGGGCAGGTGGGCGCGAGGCACTCCTGCGGTGGCCCGGGGCCCTCACACCGGCGCCTGGCTCAGGGGGCACCTCGACCCGGGCGCTCCGTTCAGACGTGGGGCGGACGCCAGAGCCCCCAGAACCCGCGCACACAAGCCCGGCTTCCCTCACAGCTGGGGAGGACGTCCCAGCGCGAAGCCGCCCACCCCCCGGCCTCCGGCAGCTTTGATCTGACACAGTCAGGCCACGAGCCAGGGGCATTTTGACCCCTGTGACAACTGAACAAGGTTCCCCGACTCAGACCCCCGTGGCTCACAGAGCCTCGGAGATTGGGGGGCTCGTGCTCGCTGGCACAGAGCCCCGAGTCTTGGGGATGCAGGTCTGCCTGGGCCGTTTCCTCTGTGTCAGTGGGATTTGCCCTCAAAACCTGAGGAAGGTGGTTTAGGCGCTCGCTGTGTCCATCTCTGCCCAGCCCTTCATCTGAGGCGGTTCCCCTCACAGCGACCCTGGGAGGGAGATCGTGATGCCGCTCCGTGCAGGGTCAGAAAGGTTGAGCCACTGCGCAAGGTCACACAGCTTCCCGGGCTCTGGTGCCTGACTCTACAGACCCCTAAGGACAGACGGGAGGGACTCGGCAGGGAGCGCGGGACCGCCCCCCGCGTCCCCTCCATGTCCCGGGGCCTGGCTGAGCCCCGGCTCCCCACGCAGATGTCAGCCGTGGCCCCACGGCACATGCAGCCACCTGGCTGGGGCGGCTCACCTGGAGGATCGCTTGGGAACACAGAACGGAGGGATCGAGGGCTGTGCGTGCACCTGGGGGCTGCGTCACTGCCCCGGGGACGACTCCACGCCCGCATCTGCCCGCCCACCCTCCCCATCACACACGCGCATCCCTGACTCTGGGGCCTGCAGAACCCCAAGTTTTCTCTTTGGTTTGGCCTTGGACCCTGTGCATGCACCGCCCCCGCGGCAGCGGCTGCTTTCTGCCCTGTCTTTGAATTCAGAGAGGGGGCTCCGCTGGTCAGGAGGGAATATTTTTATGGTAAAAAATGATCCCTTGTTGCATCAGCTCCAGGAGGGGTGGGCTCTGCGAAGGCACGTCGCCCAGGCAGACTGATGAAAATTCTGCTTTATGAAGCCGTGGCTCCCCCATTAATTAGGGGGAGGGGGCCCTCCGCGCCACCGTGCACCTCGCCCACGGCCAAAAGCTTGTCAACATTTCCCACGAAGAATGAAAATGTGAATAACTTTCAGATTATTCAATGTCACCAAGGTATGGAAAAAGGTCGCAGTGGTGGGTGTCATTTATCTCGTCGTGGATTTAAAGAGCTTTTTTCTATTAAATTTCTCAAAATTAATGTTTTATGTTGCTCAGAGTAATTTGAACAATTATGGGCTTAAAGAATTGATCATTACAGCCCCTGGGATTTAGCGCTCCAGACTGATTCCTTTGAAAACTCACTGATTTATAGTCTTGCTGCTCAAGCAGGCAAGTCCCAGGGTTTGGACCCCAACCCCCACCTGTCCACATCTGGGGGGCCAGTCCCCCAACAAGCTGGCCAGTCCTGCAGGGGGTGGTGGGGAGGGCGATGAAGCAGGAAGGGGAGCGGGTATGTCCCCTGATCCCCGGGGAGAGAGGTGTGTCCCTGATTTGGGATCGTCCTTTGAGGTTTCACCCCCTGTGTAAATTTTATATTTAAGCAAAGAGAAGACCTTTTATGTGTTGGCTGATTATATTATTTATACTATTCAGGTATTCACGTTTGATAATGTAATACATCACTGTGTTCAAAAGTTAACAAGCCCGAGATGCTCAGCCGGTTGAGCGTCTGACTCTTGATTTCAGCTCAAGTCTTGATCTTAGGGCTGTGAGTTCGAGCCCCAAGTTGGGCTGGGCTTGGAGCCTGCTTAAAAAAACAAACAGTAGGGGCACCCTTCCCCCACAGAAAGGTTAGCGAGCTCCAGGGTGCCCCCACCCAGCTAGCAGTGCGGTCAGGGCCTCCCCTCCGCACCCTTCCCCACCGCGGCACCAGCCCCGGGCCACCCACACCCACCCGGCTAACAGGCGTCCTGGTCCGGGACGTGGGAGCTGCGTTTCTGCCCGGCTGGCGCTTTGCTCGGATGGGGCCTCTGAGGTCGGAGAGGCTCCGCGCGGGCACCCGGCAGGGCGGCTGTGGTCTGACGGCCGAGCACATCCGACAGGTGCCTGGGTACCTCTCGAGTGATCCCTCCAGCACACCCGCAGGGTCTCGAGCTTCCCACGCGCTTGCGCTCGGGTGGGCCCGTCCCGAGGGTCCCGGAGGGAGGCCGCCCGCCCCCGGGCCCAGCGGCACTGACTTGGCTCCGGGATTATCGACGCGCCGCCAGCTGGAGCGCGCTCGGCTGCAACTGCCAACAGGCGGAGGCCCCCCCCGCCCCGTGGGGACACTTAGCACTTTATTAACCTGTCAGCGCCTAAAAGGTCCCGGGTGGCCTGGGGGAGTGGCTCAGGCGGGAGAGGGGGCGACTTAAGAATTTACGCCCGCCCCCTCGGGGCTGCGCCTCCAGGCCGCAGATCCCAGCTCCAGCCAGGCTGCCTCCCTCCCCCAGGGCTCTTTCCCCTACAGGACCCGTCCCCCCATCCCCCACCCCCTGGGCGGCCCTGACCTTTGACACCATCCCCCACGCCCACCCAGCACCGCTCACACTTCCGGGTGCCACGCCTTTGCACCCAGTAGGTGGGTGCCACGCCTTTGCACCCAGTAGGTGCCGTCTGACCCTTCTGCTCCTGTTCTGGCTTTTCCCTGCTTCGCGCCCTCCTCCCCACCATGGAATGGTTTCTGGGTCCCTTCATCCAGTCCTGAATCTTCTCCTGGTGCCTCCCCATTGCCCGTCCCAGGGGCTGCCCTGTGGGGGCACGTGAGCCTGGAGCTGCCGGGACCTTCCTCCCAGGAACGCCCCTCCCCCTTCCCTCAGCCCCCCTTCCCTGCAGACGATGCTCATTCCCGCCCTGCTCCCCTCACCCGAGCCCTAACAGTCCGGGGGAGGCCACAGGGCCGGGTCGTGCCCCACAGTGAGCACTCACCGCGGGGGGCGCCAGGGGCGCGGCGGGGGGGGGGGGCGAGGTGAGGCCCCAAGCGCACACTCTCCTTCCACCGCCCTTGGAGGGCTACAGGGCTCAGAGAGGGCAGCTCGCTTGTGCAGGATCACACAGCAAGTTAGCAGATGGCTAGGACGGAATCCAAGCTGGCAAGGCCCCCCGTGACCACGTGCCCTGAATCCCCAGCTGCGCCACACCCTCCTCGCCCCCACTGGTGCCTCTCCCGGGGACCAGGGGAGCCCCAGCCCTCCCCTCGGCCGCGGCCGTTTTCCCACCTCTCCTGCCAGCGCTCAGAAGAGCGGCCAAGACCCAGGGACAGAGGGGCCCAATGACACCAGGTGCCATCCTGAGGAGGAGCCCAGTGGCTCCTCCAGCCAGCCTCCCGCTTCCAGAGAACTGCACCCCTGCGCGCGCCCCCAGCCCCACTCAAGACACAGACCTTCTAGACCATAACCGACAAATTTATTGAAGTCTTGGAAAGAGCTGATGGTCAAAGAGTAAATAAAAAACACGGGACGTCCACAGAACCAACAGGTAGCTTGGGGTGCACGTTTGGGGGGTAACGGCCTCACCCGCGGCCATGAACCTGGGGCGGCGGCTCCGCGCGGCCGGCAGAGGAGGCGCCCGATCCTCAGGCGGTGAGAGCCTGAGGGGGAGGGCCCAGGACTGTTTGGCAACGGAAATCGGTGGGCTAGGCGTGGCCTGGACGCTGAGGGCCTGGGGGCGGCTGCTACGGAGGGAGGTCCCCAGGCCCCTAAAGGGCTGCTCGTGGGGAAGGAGAGCACTCCACCAGTGGCATCTCTTCGCGCGGTAGTGGAGTCGAGAACAGAAAGATCTAGAGCCAGCTGCCCTAGGGAAGAGGGGAGAGGAGGCTCCTGGGAAGGTGGGGAGTGGGGTCAGGGAGGTTCTCAGGGGGACCAGGAAGGACACAGGCATGGTCCCCCCTCAGCCACCTCCTGCCTGGACAGAAGAGACCCATCTCTGACCTAACGCAGGGCTACACAGCTCAGGCAGATGGAGCTTGGGAAATAAAAGCACGGTTCATACTAGTTTTTAAATTTTAGAAAGTAAAGCATCTTCCAGGTGGAGCAAGGCCCGGAGTGAAGACCCAGCCTGGGCGGGTGATGGTTCGGGTCTAGAAACAGCAAGCGTCCAGATAATTGGTCCACAAAGGGAGAAATTTGCTTACAAAACAGGCTTGCTGGGCGGCCACCCTGCGGGGGACCCTGTGTCCAAGGAGGAGCCGCCCAGGGCGGGGCTGCGGGATGGCGCTCCGTAGAAAGGAGCCCTCTCTCGGGGTCCTCATCCCGTCCCCCCGCTGCTGCCGGTGGTGCCTGCGTCCCCTGCGCCCCGCAGAGGTCCAGGAAAGGAGGGCCGTGCAGCTCCCGGCCGGCCGGCTACCCCCACCCCTCAGTCCGCTGCTCGTGGAGCCGGGGGCCTCGGTCAGAACTGCGCATGGTCCACGTCGTCCAGCCAGGAGGCGGGGCTGGCGGGGAAGTCGGGGTAGCCCCCGCTGCTCCCCGTGGACAGGTCAGAGCTGGGTCCGTTTCCTGCCAGCACCCTCATGGGCGGGGGCCCGCCGGGGGCCCCTGCGGACACCAGGCCCAAGCCGGCATCCGGGTATACTAAGCTGGAGAGAAGGGGCTGGGGGCCAGGGAGGCTCGGCAGGGCAGCTGGGGACGGGGGGACAGCGTAAGGGCTGCCAGGCCGCAGCTCGCGGAACTGCTCCGGGCCGGCCAGGCCTCCGTGCTCCAGCGGAAAGCTGCCAGGGGCTCCGGCGGGCCTGCCCAGGGCGGGGGTGGGCTCCCCCAGGCTGCTGTAGAGGCCGCCGGCAGGGCCCATGTCGCCCATGGAAGGCTCATCTGCAAAGGAAGTGGAGCGCGCAGCTCAGGGCCCGCCCTCCTCCACCCCACCCTCAGCGCCCCTCCCACGGCAGTGGCCCGCCGCACCCCTTCTCTTTAGAACTTACGCTGCCCTCTCCCCTGTGCTTGGCTAGCTCAATCCCACCCAGCATCTACGGAATGGTGGGACCCCCTGGGGGGGGCGGGGGGGAGAGATCAGGGCCAGGAACAAGCCAGTCAAAACCCAGGGTTGCGGGACAATCCCCAAGACGGCTTTGGGAAAGGGGCACAGACACCACTAATCCCATTTTGCAGACAGCTTAACTGAGGCTCAGAGAGGCAGGGTGAGTAGTTAGCTAAGGTCACAGTGCAGCCAAAGAAACTTGCATAAACTGACGACGGGCACTAAGAGGGTAAGAACGAGGTCTCCCCGGCACCGAGGCGGAGACAATCAAATCCCACAGGGGAGGGTGGACCCCCAACTCCAAACAGCCGAGACTTTTCACCACTTACCCCAGAACTGTGCTGCCCACTTTCCTAAAAATCATTGCAAGGGCCAGGAACCAGAGGGTGGTCTGGACCCTTTCCCGTGAGAAAGCCTGCTTCAGGACACGTGGGTGGTGGGGGCTGTCCCCCCACCAGGGGAGCCGCTGAGCGCCCCAGGGGCCCGACCCCACGGCTGGGGCGGGGGGGGGGGGGGGGGGATTGAATTTGAGGCAGCGAGCGGAGCCGGGGGACGCGAAGGGCAGGACCGAGGGGGGGGGGGGGGGGGGGGGGGGGGGGGGCGGGGGGGGGGGGGGGAGTCCATTAACGGTCCCCTAGCGGGGAAATTGAGATTTGCCGGCTGCGGGTGCCCAAGGGCGCGGGCGCGGGGAACCCGGGCTGCGGCTCCCGGGTGCGGGGCTCCGGCGCCCCGGGGGCGCGGCCGTTACCGGTGAAGGCGGCGTCGGCGTCGCTGTCCTGCCCCTCCTCCTGGACGCTGTCCTTGTCGGACTTGGAGCCGCCGCGGGCGCGCTTCATGTGGCGGAAGTACGGGCCCCAGCGCTGCCGGCCGGCGTCCTTCTTGAGCCTCTTCTCCTTGGCGCGGCGGTTCTGGAACCACACCTGCGGGGTCGGGCGGGTGAGCGGCCTGGCGGGGGCGGCGGAGAGGCCGGGGCCGCGGCCGGCGCGGGGCGCTGACCTGCACCACGCGCATGTCCAGGCCGGTCTCGGACGACAGCTGCTCCCGCACGTGTCGCGCGGGTTTGGGCGACGTGTTGTAGGCGCTCTTCAGCGTCTCCAGCTGCTTGGCTGTGATGGTCGTGCGCGGCCGCTTGGCCGTGGCCTCCGCCTCTGCACCGCGAGGAGTGGGGTGAGGCCGGGTGCCTCGGCCACCCGACGGCCCCAACCCTGTCCGGGCGCGGGGACCCCGGGGAAGATGGGGCCCGAGCGCGGTGGCCCCGGGGGGAGGGGGGCTGAGCTGCGACCCCGCGGCCCGCACCTCCCCCCCTCCTCCCGGGCTCCCCTTTGTTCCGAGGCTGTGGGTAGGGCTGGATCCTCACGGTCGTCGGTTTGGGGTGATAATCCACACAATTCAGATCAGCTTCCCTGCTCCCTCGCCCTCGAGTGAGGAGGCCGCTAAGACCCCTGCCGCTCTGTGAACTGTCCCCACGCGGCTCCAGCCCCATCCCCACTGCGGGCCTGGAGGGAAGGCGCTTAAGTTTCCACCCCTGAGCAAGAGCGCTGCGGCGAGCGCAGGACGTGGGGATCCCTCTGCGCCCCAACAACGGGCCCCAGCCTCGTTTTGCAGACGGGGGTTAGGAGAGTGGGTGGACCCGCCCACTGACCGCGCTGCTTGGCTGTCTCGTAATCCGCCTTGCACACAAGCCGGCTGTCTTCCATGAGGTAGAACTCGTCGCCCGTGGCCAGCTGCCGCTTGCACACGACGCAGGCGAAGCAGTGCAGGTGGTACACGAAGTCCTGGGCGCGGCGCACCACCTGCGTGGGCGGGATGCCCAGCTGGCACGCGGCGCACTTGGTCCCGAACCGCCTGCGGGGCGCACAGGGCGCGCTTCAGCGGGGCGTCGGCAGCTCCTTCGCCCGGAGCGGGTCAGAGAGCGGCGAGCGGGACGCCGTGCTGGGCGTTCAGGAGGGAGGCTCACCCCGGCCCTGCCCCTAAATCACCCGCCAGGCAGCCTCTGCGAGCCGCACGGAATACCGGGAAGGGACCCAGAGGCCCTGGGGAGCCTAGCCGCCCGGCCCTCGGTGTCCATCAGGAAGCTGGATCCACGGGCTAGGTGCCTTAGGCCCCAGAGACCTGTGCCTGGAAAGCACCCCCTCCCAAGCATTAAGGACAAAAACAAGACCAGAATTGAGAGGGAGTAAACGCAATCAACTTCTCCAAACCTGGGTTATCGTTTTGAACGACTGTTTCCATGATTTACAAAATTAATTACTCAGGAAAAATTTAACTGCAGCACCAGCCAGGCCGGTGTGGAGCTTCCCGGGACCCCCCGCCCGCGCCCTCCCCACCTGGGTGACGGGAGGGGCCCGCTCTTTGGGAGCAGATTTCTCCCCCGCCCGCCCCGCATGCCCTCCGGCCACACTCACTTGAAGAAGTCGTCCTTGCAGTAGACGCTCTCTCCCCGGCTGAAGCAGCGCTCGGCCAGCGGCGCGTGGCAGTCGCTGCACCTCAGACACTTGCTGTGCCAGTGGCGGTCCAAAGCCTTGAGGATGAAGCGGTCCAGGATGTGCTGGTCACAGCCGGCACACAGCGGGATCTCTGCAGGCCGAGGAGCCGCCGGGGTCAGGGGTGCCGCCCGGAGAGGCAGCGCGGAAGTCGCCTTCCCGCTCCAGCCTCCGGGGGCTCAGGGCTGCCCAGGGACACCCGTTTCCCTGCACTCCCTCTTCCCCAGGTGGCGCTAGCGGCTGCTTCGCTGCTCCCCAACCGTAGCGAGTGCCCGGCAGCGAGGTCCAGAGCCGGGCACACAGTTAAAATTGGGAAAAACTGAAATCGGTGTAGAAGTGTGCCCTTGAGCAGGAAGGTGCCTAGGCCGTCCTGTTAGGCCCGATACCACTAACCGCAAAACGTTCCCATTTAGCACGAAGGGTGCACATGAAGCTTGAGTGAAAATCCCGCCCCAGGGCCTCTCTACTGTCACCAGGAGGCAAGGCATCTGTGGGTTGTGGGGTGCCCACCGCCCAGTCCTCATCATCATTTTGCACACTTAAATATCATTGCAGCTGGAGACTGCGTGTTTAAGTGTGGCTGCCCAGCGCCGTGGCCTCGTCTGCCAAGGCAAAATCTGGCGTCCTCATCTGTGGGAGCCCTGGGGGATACTTATGCAAGGGATACAAACGCATCGTTGTCGTCAGACTCAATAGTCGGTAACTGACAAGAGTTAGTCGGACGCTCAGCTCTGCTGCGGTGAGACTGAAGGCCTCTGGGGGAACCAGCCTGGGGAAGTCTGGGGTGGCCTGCGGGAGCCACTGAAGAGCTTTTCAGGGTGCTCATGGGGTGAGTCTCCCTGTTGATTTAGAAAAGGTCTTCCGGAGAGGAGAGAGCCAGCAGCAGGAGCTGGAAGGAGCGCACCCAGGGTGCCCACCTCGCTGTGCTCTCCTGGCCAGCCGCCGGCCCCTCGGGCTCCAGGACGGCGCGTGGCAGGTGGGGTGGGGTGGGGGTGGGGACCGGAGAAGGGCCTCCCTGGTCCCAGGTTGAAATAACAGGATCGACCTCCCCCCTCAGAGGCAGGGAATTCGTAAATGCCGCGATCCCGCGTCGGGCCAAACCGCGGCCCCGGATGCAGGAGCGCCGGGATCCGCCGCGCGACGCGGGCCCCCTCGCGGGCGGCCGGGGCCGCCGGCCTCGCGCTGGTGGCTGGACGGGCCGGCGCCGCGCGGATTCAGCACCGCGGCCGCGGACAGCGCCCGCCCCCCGCCCGGCCCGCCGCGCGCCCCCCGCCCGGCCCCGCGACCCGGGCCTTACGCTGCATGGCGGCTCCAGCGCCGGCGGGGGCTCCTACCCTCAGCGCCCGCGGGGCCCAGCCTCGCCCGCCCGCCGCCGCCGGCTGTCCTGAGCCCGCCTCCCTTCCCTCCCTCCCCTCCGCCCTCCCACTCCTTCCTCCCAGCCCCTGCGGCCAACCCCTCCCAGGAACCGTCGGGAAAATAAATAAATAAGTAGGAGACGGATGAGCCCCCTCCCGCCCCCCATGCAACCTGTTTCCCACCTGCTCCGTCCCTGCGCCCCCCACCCCGCCGGGCCCGCCTCCTCTCCATCCCTGGTTCCGCGGCCGGAGAACCTTTGCTGACGGCCCTGCTCTGGGAGCCGAAGCCCCGGGGAGCCAGGGCAGGGCTGCCGCCGCCGGGGAGGCTGGGTCCTTCCCGCAGACGGTCCCGAGAGCCGGCCAGGGGGCAGGTGCGTGTGGGGGCAGACGTCTCCACCAGGCGCGACCTGCCCTGGGCTCGGCTCCGCCCGGCCCCTGCCTCTAACTCTCTCCCCCCGGAAAGTGTGGAGGGTCTGGGTGGGACCGGGCCTCTCCGGGACCCTCTCCACCTGCTCTCCTGATAAGGGACAGGGTTTCCTACATGGGCCCTGGGACCCCACGGAATGTCCGGCCCGAGCAGTGCGGCGCGGCGACCATGCAGCGGACAGCGCAGCTCCAGGGGCCCCGACGCTAACTCGCTCTGGGGCCCTTGCACCCACGCCCGCCCCGGCCCCCTGTCTCCCGCCACCTCCGTGGCCAGGCCCGGAGAGGAGCGAGGACCCCTGGGTCTCCCGGGGCAGCCGCTCAGCCTGGGCACCCACCTCGGCGCAGGTCCTCCCTCCGCGCCAGCAGCGCCAGCAGCAGGTCGCCGCCCGCCTGCTCGCGGCCGGGGCCCAGCTCCCCGCGCGCCTCCATGGGACCCGTCTCCCGGCGCCGCTGCTCCCCCGCCCAGAACTTTCCCGGGCCCGGCGAGGCCACGGCTTCGCTGGCCCCGGGCTGGTGTCCGAGCGGTTCCCCGCGCTGCTGGGCGCCGCGCCCGCGGGCCGCCCTGGGGCCCGGAGCCTCAGGCCGCGCGCAGGGCGGAGCAGCCGGGGGGCGGGGCCGCGGCGCGGGGCGGGGCCGAGGGTGGCCGAGACGCGCCCCCGCCGTCCGCCCGCGCTGCGCGCCTTCGCGCGGGGACTGGGTGCCCAGGCGCCACCCGAGGGCCCGGCCCGAGGGCGGGGACAGTCAGGGGAGGAGGCTCTTGCCTGGGCCCCGCAGCTCCCTGCCCGGAGCCGTGGGCCGCGGGCTGAGGCCTGGGCTCGGGCGTGCACGCGCGCGGGTAGGCTGTGGGTCCCGGAGCGCGGGCCGGGAAGGAGCCGCGTCTACACCCGCTTGAGAGCCGGGGCTGGGAGACTTGGTGACAACGTCTGGTTGGCAGGAACGCGACCCGAGACCCAGAGAGGACGAGTGTGGCGCCCAAAGGCTCTCGGCCAAGCCGCCAGGAGCCAGACACGACCTCAGACCTCCCAGCTCTGACCAGTTTCTGAGCCCCACCCTGGGCCCGGCCACCAGAATGGGCGTAGAGAAGAAGGGCGGTTCTCGGCAGTACACCCGGTGTCCACCGCCTGGACACGCAGATAAGATTCAGGTCAGGAACGACAGAGCTGGGAAAGTCGGGGGTCCACCTTCACTTCCCTCCTCACTCACAGCGCCCCAGCGCGCGGGCCGCACGCTTCACCTTCCAACATCCTGTCCCCAGGCTGACAATTAAGACACGGCAGTGTGGGACCATTGCCGCCCGGGCACGGTGAGGGCAGGGGCCCCGGGCAGTGCTGGGGGGGAGCCGGGCTTATCCCAGCCTTCAGCCCCCCCTCCTGGAACTGGTAGTGGGCAGGCTGCGCTGTGCTCCTTCTCCTGGCCTCCAGTTGCCTGGTCTGTGCACTTTAACAAGGGGACCCGTCTGGAAGGGTGTTTGCCGGGCAGGCACAGTGCCCTCCCAGGTCCCAGCCGGCCTGAAGCCTCACGGTTTTGAGCAGAGGCTCATAGGACACTTGTTACCCAGAGGACAGGGCAAGGGTGCACAAGCTGGCCAGCCGAGTGGGTGCCGGGTGTGCTGGGGTGCCGCCTGTGGCGTGTCAGCTGCTTGCGGAGGCCTGCCTACAGGGACCGTGCGTGGCTCGAGTGGGGAAGGGGCAGGCGGGCAGCGGGCCCGGAAGTGGCCGCCCCACACGCTCAGCATCTGGCCAGCCTGCCAACAATGCCTCCATTATTTCACAACGTCCATGGCGATCGAGTGGCCCTTAGGGACGGTGGTTCCGGCGGGAGATCCAGCCCAGGGGTCCCAGTTCTGCACTGTTGGGCGTTTAGGAGGTCGGGGCTGGACTGTGTGGGACAGTTTAGGGGCGTGGCGTCTCTGGAGGAAATCGGCGCCCCTGGCTCTGCCCTATCCCTTCGCCCCAGCCGCGCCTGCAGGGCACCTTGTTCTCTGGGCGCGCCCCAGCAAACCACGGCCCCACTCCTGGGTCTGGCCTCTGGAACCATTGCAGGGAGCTCCGCGCCCTCTGCCCACGGACCTGCCAGACTCACCTCCCCTTGCCCCTGTTCCCATCTCTCGTGTGTGCTGCCCCCCTCCCGGCCCTTGGTTTCTCCAGACTTTCTCCCCCTCTCTGCTGTCCTGGGCCCCTTCCTCCCCGCTGTCCCTCTGCCTGACTCTCCTGCCTTTGCCGTTTTGTTTCTCCCTTTGTGAGTCCTCTGGCCCTGGCTGGAGGCCAAGGGGCTCGCGGGGGGCCTTACCCCGAGTCCCACCGAAGGCGCAGACGGCAGCGGCCCCGGGGGCCCCGGGCCGATCTCCGGCTCGATCGAGCTCGGTTTCCAGCAGCATGGCGACTGCCAGGCTGGAGATGAGGCCGACTGGCCCCGGGGCCGCCCTCCTCCCTCGTCCTCTGCGATCCCTGGGAGGGCTCGGAGCACCCCAAGGTCCCGGGAGCCTCGGACCGTGAGCCTGTGCGTGCGGTCGGTCGGGCAGGAGCCTGGGAGCCCGGGCGCTGTCCGCGGTGCTGAAGACGGCGCGCGGCCGCCCACCTCCCCACCTCCCCGGCGCCCCCTGTGCCCCAGCCCTCCCCGCGTCCTCTAGCCCCGCCCTCCACTCTGCTCCCCCAGCCGGCCTCCCCACCATCCCTCTTCCCTGGGTCCGCTGTCCCTGCGCCAGCCTCACCCCAGCCCTGCCCACCTCCCTACTCCCCAGGCCCTTGTCCCCCACCCCCACCGCACTCCCGGCCTTTCCCTCAGGCCCTCCCCCTCCCCTTCTTCCCCTCCTTAGGTCTCTGGTCCCTCTGCCAGCGCTCCCATCCTCCGCCAGGTTTTCACCCATTTCCTCTTAGGCTCCAGGCCGCACCCCCACCCCAGCCCCCCAGGACCCCCGTCCCTCAGCCAGCCTCATCCCCTCCCTCCCTTCCCTCCCTTTGGGGGTGCAGGCAGCTTCTTCCGCTGGCTCTGCCCTGAGCTCCAGCCCAGCCCAGAGGCTTGGGGATTTGAAATAAGTGGGTGCTCCCCCCTGCCCTGCGTGTCAGTGTCCAGGACTCGGCAGGTGACCTTTCCAGCCCCAATGGCCTCCAGCCCAGGCTCCCACAAGTCTCTGGCTCCAGGTGTGTCTCAGCATTCAGCCGTTGTGGCTGGCCTGAGGAACCTGTTGCACTCATAAGCTTTTGACTCGCAATTTTCCCCAGATCTGCTGCTGGCAGCCCCCCACCCTCCACCCCCAGGGCAGCTAAGGAGGAGGGGCGCCTGGAGAGCCCCCAACAGAAAGTCCTCAGGACTTCAGGGCTGTAAGGGGTCACCAGATGGTGGATCCGCACCAACACCGGCCCCGCACAGACCTGGAATGGTGGACTGGTCAGTGCCCCGCCCAGCTGGCACACCAGGGGCTGCCTGCGCCAGGGAGGGGCTTACCTCCCAGCTTCCACACAGCCTGGCTGGGAAGTGCATGCACAGAAACCGCAGCCAGCAGGTCTCTGGGAAGCCACATACGACTGGGGACTCTTTCCCCCCACCCCCAGCAAAAGAAAATGTAGAAGCAGAAGAAATCAAAATAGTTCAGACTCTGAGGCAGCCAACAGCGGTCAGGGGCGCAGCCCTGGGGGTACAAGGCAATGCTGGGGCGTCAGGCCCAGAAACTGGTGGGCCAGCGGCTGGGGGGCCGGGGTCCCTTCTCCCTTAACTGGGGCGCCCCTGGTGCACTAAGTCCTACAATTCAAGTGCGTCTCAGCTGCTGTCCTGCGGCCGCCCCCCGGGGTAGCTGGGCCCCCGAGACCATCTATAACCGATCTAGTTTCCGCTCTCAGCTGCTGTCCTGCGGCCGCCCCCCGGGGTAGCTGGGCCCCCGAGACCATCTATAACCGATCTAGTTTCCGCCCTCAGGCTGTCTTCCCCGAGGCCTCTCGTTCAGTCCAAGAGGCTCCGGGATTTCAGGTGCCCGGTCCACAACTCTGGAAGGGAAGGAGGGCTCCGTCTGCACCTCGACCTCTGGTCACTGCTCTAGTGAGTTCACGGTTTCAAAAGAATTAGTTTTCTCAAATGTCAGATTTATTTATTTAAAAAATATGCACAGTACAGTTCACTTAAATACAAAACATTCACCTCGAAGGTAAGAAATTCCAGACATTTCCATGTCAATTAGCTTCTTTTTAATCAAAATCCTTCCATTAAAAATAAATACCCATTTAAATTACTGAACTAGTCTATTCATTAGTCTCAATACTTACGTTAGAAAATAGACCTTAAATTTTGCCTAAAGGCAGTGCCCGGTTCTGAGCAACCCACGTGAGGTGTGTGGCCGTGTTCACACCCGCCCACAGGACATGCGTCCAGGGATGTCTCGGCACCCCACCTCTCCCTGCTGCCCGCGGGCTGCCGGGAACCTGGCCCCTCAGGGAGCCACAAACTTGTCCCTCAAGTAGTGGTGACCTTAGGGCCACAGGGTCTCTCTCGCAGCCTCGTGCTGTTCGCAGCACGTAAAGAACCTTACTTAGAGGAGGACAAAACAGCCGACGTGAACCAAAAGGCAGTTTAATTAACGGTGCGAAGTATTTCCCTTCGGATTCTGTGTGTAAATCTGCCCGAGTTTTTAAATGAAAGGAAACGATACTCTGCTTCAGTGATCCAAGCACACAACCGCCTACGAAACACAGGCTTCCAGGGGTTAAAAAAGGGTCAAACAAAAAGGTCGCTCTGGCGGCCGCCCAGGGGGGACCCAGCTCCCGGGGGGAGGGACCCAGCTCCGCCAGCCCTGTGGGCACGAGAGCCCGGAGCCCCAGGGCTGCAGCCCCCCCCCCCCACGGGCCGTGGCCGTGCCCAGCTGCAGTGAGTAAACAGAGCACACACGAGGCAGAGTGGGAGAGACTATTTACAACCTCACAGACACGGGCACAGGGACATCTGAGTGCGAGACAGACACACGGCACAGTCCGTTTTGTCTGACGTTTTCAGAGGCAAACTTACCTCTAAATCATTTGGTTTTACAACTAATGTGTGAAAATTATTAAATGGTTAAAAAAAAAAAAAAAGCGATCGCCAGAACCCGGGGACTGGGGTCCTGTGCCAGGACCCTTCATAAAACAGCTTCAGGGAAATGAAATTTGGCCTTAAAAGTGCTGGGGGCAGCACAGGTCACCCCTGGGGCCCTCGGCTCCTAACCTCTTGGCTCGGCAGCAGGTCCTGCGGGCGCTGCACCACGCGACATTGGGGGGGGGGGCTCCGCCCTCAGTGTCACAGGATGGGCAGTTTGGGGCAGCCGTCCTGCCACCCGATTAGCCAAGGCACTGCCTCTGCCACCATCGTGTCCCCAGCCGCCACGCCACACGGCCTGTGGGGGTGTTTCCTGCAATGCAGCAATGCCACGAACCCGCCCCTTCCCTTCCCTCTGTCTCCACACTCTGCAGAGCAGGGAGGTGACGAAGAGGCCGTCCCCGAGGCTGGGGGCGCCTTCAGCACCAGGGAGCCGCCCTCTTGCTTCGGCGGGAACCACCGAGCAACTGAAAAGTGCGCAGACACAGCGAATCTCTGAGGACCCGACGCCTTGGAGAGGCGGCCGGGGGTGGTGCGCGGGGGGCAGGCGGGGAGGAGTCTGTTTGTTTGGCCGGGACTCCCATTCGTGTTTCCAGACCTGGGAGGGTAAAAATACAGACGTCGTCCTGCTGTGGGAGCCTGCGGGAGCGCCCGGGGACGACCCGCGGGCGGCAGAGCCCCACAAACGGCGGCTGGTCCTCCGCAGGGAAGCCTTTTGTTAAACGAGGACTTGGGGCCCGAGACGCCAGCTGACACGAACCCAGGTCTGAAGTGTTTATAAAATCCCTGATCTGAATTATTACAGCTGCAGGTGGCGCGGAGCGGCTGTTCCTAAAGGCGCTTCCGTGGACCCGCTCGGTCCTACACGGACGGGCGGGGGTGCCGGACCTTCCACCGCTTGGAGCGCACGCGGAAGAAGAAGTACATCACCATCAGAAACAGGGACGAGGCCACGTACAGCACGACGCAGAGGCTCATGTCCAGGCTGGAGAAGCCCGTCCCGAGGAAGGGCACGGCCGCCTCCGCCTCCCCACGGCCCTCGGCCCCGCTCGCGCTCCGGAGTCTCCCGTCCAGGCTGAGCGAGGGCCCCTCGGACAGGCGGGCTCTGGGAGGCGGCACGCTGGGTGGACGGGCGCTCTCGGCACGCGGGTCTCCCCGGGGCCGGTCCGGGGAAGTGCGGCCTCTCTCCCGCGCCCCGCCCTTGGGCGGGCCGCCCCCCTCGCTGGCGTCCCCCTGGGCCTCGGCGTATGTGTCCACGAGGTTGTCGGGGCTGTAGTGCTGCTTCAAGAACAGGAGCACCTCGCCCTCATTCCAGCTGTGCAGGCCCTTCACTTCCTCGTGGCAGGCTGGGCAGAGGTCCGGGGTGGGCCACGGAACCTTGGGAAACTTGGGGTCCTCGCTCAGATGGCCTGGGAGGAGGAAAGGGAGCAAGAGTCTGGGTGCCTTGCGGCGACCTGACCGCGCACGCCCGGCGAACCCTCCCCCGGCTCCTGCACGGGCACCTGGCTCCCGAGCGCCCTGGATAAACGCCGTGTCTTCCGTGGCACCTGTGGCTGCCCCGGTGCCCAGCGGTGGGACGGCTCCACGTACCTGGCCAGCTCCCCTGCACCCCTGTGACCTGGAGGCCCCCGCTCGAGCCCGCGTGTCCCACCCGCACCGAAGGTGTGCCCTGCGGTCCAGGCTGCATGAGCCCCAGGAGCGCCTGCCCCCGACGCCGGCTGTGCGGACGGTCCCACGGGACTTCAGGCGTGTGCAGGCCCCTCCCACACCCCAAACCCCAAAAGGATCTCCAGAAGTGATTCTGGGAGTGAGGCCTGCCCGCACCAGGGAAGCCTCAGAGCCCGTGTGCAGGACGCCCGGCAAAGCCCGCTCCTGGTTCCGCTCCAGCCGAGACCACGGCCAGGCGACCACTTCCCTCCTCGGCACGTGCCAACCGGCTTCTTACAAGGCGCAGCCACACAGCCTGGTGTGAACTGCACGTGCCCCCGGCTGGCGCTGGCCCCACGTGGTAAACCTGTGCCCGCCCCCGTGCTCACGGCCGCACAGGCTCTGGGTCTCTGCCAGAGACAGGAGGACCGCGCGGGCTCGGCACGGGAGGCGTGGCACGTGGCGCTCCTCGGCTCCCAGAGGCCCCCGCCCTGCCGCCCTCCAAGTCCTTCTACGAGTAAACATGGACAAAATCACTCCGACTGATGGGTCTGGGGCGGTGAGACCCTCTCCTCTGCCCGCTGGCCCAGGCCGGGGGTGGCGGGCGAGGATGCGCACACACACTCACGTTACACCGCACACCTGGTGTTACCGCCGCAGACACAGGCGGGTCCGGGGCAGGCCTCCGGGTCTCAACCCAGAGGCCGGAGGTGGGACTGGGGAGCGTGTGGGGGCGGCTACAGAATCTCAGGACGGACACAACTGTTCAGGGGCGCGCCGGGCCTGGCGGGAGGCGAGAGCGGCTCGGCTGACTGCGTGGGCTCCTGTGTGAGGCGGGGACAGGGGCCCCCACAGAGTGTGGGGGTTCTGAACCGGGGCCCCGGGGACGCGCCTCGCCCCGCAGCTGACATCCACGGGCAAATCCCAGCAAGCGCAGAGGTGCCGCGGCCACATGGCCAGAGCCGCAGCGTCAGCTCTGAGTGCAAGGAAAACCCAATTTTCTTTAGTGCTTTAGTTGTAATATGTTTTATAATGCGGTGGATTAACTAAAAACCAATAGTTCAGTGGTATTTTCTATTCATCTCTATTAAGATTTATTTGTCGGTGGAATTATTTTTAAGCCTAATTTTAATCTGCCACCGATTTGGGAACAGTTTGAATTACTTAACTCTGAGAAGATGGATGCGTCCTATTTCGTTTTTGAACAAAACTGCCTGCAGGGGTTTGCTTTCAGTCTGAGAGCAGATTGTAATCGCAAAAAAACGGCTCACGGTCACATGGTTATTTTCCACATCTGCCAGCGTCAAATGTCCTCGGGGCCTGGCGGCGACCCCAGGGGAAGCAGCGGGTCAACTTCCACGCAGCCCGGGAGCCCAGAAGCGGTAGAACAGTCCAGAAAGCCAAGGGCGCTGGCAGGCTGGAGGGTGGTCATGTTTGGCAATCCCTCCCCAGGGCCGCCAGCGCGGGGCAAAGGTCAGGTGTCAGCAGTGCGCGCGTGGTAGGTGCAGTGGGAAGCGGGGGTGTGTGCGTGGCCACACCCCTGCCGAGACGCCCGCCCGCTGCTCACCTGCGAGGCGGTTGTTCACCAAGTTATGCTTCTTCCAAAGCCAGAGAATCGCTTGGTCCGCGGTTCTGACGGAGCCCATGGATTCTTCCGCCATCTCCTCGAAGTGCTCAGCACACTCCTTACAGCCAAAGAAGGTGCGAACGTATCTCCTGATGGTCTGCAGCACCGCCTGCGGGTCCCCCTCAAAACCTGCAGTGGGAGAGGCAGACACCGCCGGCCCCGTGGGGGCGCGTTCCAGGCTTTGCGCAGGGAGCCCGAGCCCAGGCGCCTTCCCGGCCGGAAGGAGTGGCCTGTGCCTGGAGGGGGCTGCCCCGAACACACAAGATGCGCTCCAGGATGTGGCGAGGGCAGACAGCACATCCCCTTCCAGGGACTGTGAGGGCAGCGGCGGCTCGGCCTCAGTGAGGGGTGGGCCAGCCTCTCCCCGAAGATGCTGTGAATGGGCAACGTGCTCGTTCAGGAAACAGCCCCCCGACAGCAGAAGGAAAGAGCCAGCATCGCATGAAAACAAGGACCCCTCACATCACCCAAAGGGGGGCGGGCACGGGGCTGGCGCCCACGGTTCCCTTCAGACAACTAATACGGGGACTGAGCCAACAAACAAGACTGAGATTAGAACAGATTAAATGTCGGCATTAAAAGAAATGCAGCAAAATAATTGGAAAAAAAAAGATGTGCTTTTGAGACTGAATCCGTCTTAATCAACAGCAGGCCCTCGGGGGTGAACTCTCTCTGCCGCTGGCTGTGGGTCTGGGTGGGAGGGCCAGGCCTCGGCCCAGGTCCCCACATCTGTCGTTAGTCTTGGCGGCCTCATGGAGAGAGGCCCCCGCTGAGCCCCCGGCCACGTCCTCAGTCTCGGGGGGCGGCAGCATGCAGTGAGGACACACACCGAAGGCGTGCCCGCCTGCCCTCTCGCCGGCCGCCAGCTGCCACACACCACTGGGTAACCCTCCCCCTCTCCCCACCGCACCGCTGCGCGGCCGGCCACCCTAATCTGTAGAGTGGGCAAGAACCGTAAGCTCTACCTGCGGGGATTAGAGCATGCAGCAGCTTGTTAGTCGATGGGGTTTAAACAGACACTAAGGAGTGGAAAACCGCCAAGACCTAATCCGGCTGGGTCCATCTGACCCAGTTCTTCGGGTGTGAGACCTGCTCCTCAGATACAGCTCCCGTCTGCGCCCTGGAGATCTTTCTGACCACGTGCCCCGCCACGGAGCCCCCTGGCCAGCCTGTCAGCAGGGCGCACTCCCCACCTCCCCCAACAAGGTCCCCAAGAAGTGCGCGTGCAACATCACCGCGAGGAGAGCCGGGGGTGGGGGTGGTGAGGGTTTGCAAAGACACACATGCCCCTGCGACGCGCCTCTGCCGCTTCCCCACCCCCGCCGGGCAGACGCCCCCCACCATGGATCCAGGCTGGACGAGGTCCATTGGACCATCAGGTCATGACAGAAGCGATGCCCTGTGCCGGCTCGCCCAGGCCCCAGGCTCCTTCCTGAGTGTGGGCCTAGGCAGGAGCTGGGGCCGCCCACGCTGCCGAGCCACAGAACCCACGCAAGCAAAATGGTGGCTCTTTCAAGCCCCAGTGCCTGGTTTGAGTTGTTACGTAGCAAAGACTAGAATTTTACAGTCGCACTGGAGAAAGCATCGGAGTGTGAGTCACAGCCTGCCTGTGCTCGGTACACACAGCAGCGAACCACCTAACTGAACCCACAATGGAACGGCAGGCGGCCAATCCCACGGCCGCCAGGGGCCCGCTTCGCGGGGGAGGCGCACATGCACCCGGATCCAAGGGGGGTAAAACAATCCAGCCCAGTTTTCGGTGCCTCGCGTAGGTCGCAAAATCCGGCCACGCTTTCCTGATAAGCAAAGCTATTCAAGCCAAGTCAATCTCTGGGGTGTTTAACCTCTGGTGCAGGCGGTCTCTGGTGATCACCCCTCCCCGCGGGCTGGGCTGGCGGCTCACCGCTCCCCCAGGGAACCACACAGGAGGGGCCCACGAGGCCAGCTGCCACGTGGTGGGGAACTAGCAAGGCCCTGGATCAGCCACCACCCCTCCAGTGAACAGGGGAGGGGTCCCTTCCTAGTGGAGACTTGAGATGAGAGACCCCAGCCTCGGCCGACACTGGGCCCACAGAAGCCGCGGCTGAGCTCCTGGCGCACAGACACTCTGAGATCAAACCAAGCGGCAGGGTCAGGCTTAGGGTCAGGGTCAAGGTCGTTATGCACAAGAGATAAGCACACATCTCCAAACAGGTTTCACTGAGGCTCGTACTCCCTGGAGCAGAAAAAAGAAGTGCTCACCCCGCGGGGGAATTCCTGGCCAGCGTGCTCCCGTTCTCAGATTTATTTCCTGCGGCTCAGCCACGCGCAGGCCGGTCGGCTCTGGAGCACCCACCCAGGGGCTGGCAGGGATGCTCCCCTCCCCGCCTCCGTAGCAGGGGACCCCCGGGGCAGCCCTGGTGATGCTTGGCCTCGCGTACAGCCTCTCACGACGCCAGGCCGGCACCGGCACGGGGGCTGTGTCAGCTGGGCCCGTAGCCTGGGCCCGGGCGGGGACGGCTTACCTGTGCCGTCCAGCGCTTCCGGATGGGCCCCGGCTTGGACGGTCAAAGTGTGAAACAGTTTCCAGAGTGCACACGTGTAACCCCTGAGCTCTGGTCGGCTTCCCTGACATCCAACCCACTTTACGTGATTAATAAGGAATATTCCAGAAATCTGAGAAGAGGGGGATAGAAGAAGACATGATTGAATTGTTAACATTAACGTAGTTGACGAGCGTCCTCTGCCTGGACTGGGTGGTGGTTACGCAGAGTGCGAGTTTATCAAAACTCCGCCAGCTGCACACCTTCGCACGTGGTGTATTTAAATCCAGTAGCAAACAAGTGAGAGAGCCTGGTGCCGGCTCTCCTAAAGGTGTCAAACAGGGCGGTGCGGCCCGGGGAGGGGGGAAGGGCTCCTCTGTGTCCGGACAGACGAGAACCCACAAAAGCCTGAACGATGCCTCCGGCCTGACCACTAAGAACCCCAGCTGCGGAACATTCTCAGCCAGCACGAGGGAGGGGCCACGGGTCTGCAGCCGAGCGGAAGCTTCGAGCATCCACGCCACGTCCACGCCCTGCGTCTCCTGGCCGGGAGTTTGCTAAAAACTGACATAACACATCACCTGGACCAGCGCAGCTCTGAGCCAGCCGCCCGTGCCTTCACCGCCCATCTGCCGCGACCCCAGGAGCCGACAGCGCCACAGGCAGGGGGCTGGCACAGACAGCAACCCGGCGACAGGGACGGTAACAACCGCGGGCGCACCGTGGGGGGGACACGGCACCCGTGCCCAGCCCCCTCCTTCCCCGTGCGCTGGGGGTGGGGCCCTGAGCGCTGGCAGGGGGGCCGGGCTCACCCGCATCCTGTTGTTGGCCAGGTCGAGGACGGCGTCGTAGGGGACCCTGTCCAGGGGAAGGCTGGCCAGCCACTCCTGCAGCGTCTCCAGTAGCTTCCTGACCGGCGCCCGGCCGGGGAACAGCTGCACAAGAAGGACTGGCATCAGAGGTCGTCGGGGAAGATGCCCCCACGGCAGCGCCGTCCCGGGGCACCGGGACCAGGTGGGGTGTGCCCGACACGCGTTCCTCCTAGGCCTGGGGCGGGGGCTCTCCAGAACGCGGCGCAGGGGGTGGGAGGGGCCGCAGGCTGGGCGCCCCAGCTGACGACAGCTCCCCAGTGTCGGATGATGCGGGGTCCTTTCTGAAAGCTCTGCCTACTTACTACTCCCTGTGCCCCGTTGTAATACGCGCTCCCCCCCCCGCCTCCCCTCTGCCGTCTGACTGCGGAACTACGTGGGGTGGAAGAGGCATGGCCCACTGAGGCTTTTCCGCAGAAGTGAGCCGAGTGCTGGTAACGGAGCGTCCGTGCACCTGCCTCCCCGCCCCCCAGCCCCCGGCCCCCCGCCCTGAGGGACGAGGACTACGTGTCACATGTCAAGTGTGCAAAGTAAAGGCTGCCACGGGCTCAGGACCCGAGTGGGAGCTGCCGCATCAGGACCGCTGTGGCCTGGCCAGCACTGGGCTGGGAGGGCCAGGGACCCACGGGCCTCCCGGATGCCGGACAGAGGGGGACACAGGCGGGGAGACTGTGCGCTTCTGATTCGCTGAAAGCGAAGGACGGAGGCCGGCGGGGCCCACGCCCGTCCACACGGCCTCGGTTTCCTCCTTGGAGACACGCTGTGCGACTCGTCCCTTCCGGCATCAACTCTGCCTTCTTATCTCAAAGGTCGCACGACACCAGCAAACCTTGTCTGCCTGGCGTTGACCGTGAATCACTGACCCAAGCAAGTGAATTCTCTTACATTTAGCAAGAGAAATCTTGTATTTTTTTTATTTTTAGAGATTTCATTTTTGGGACGCCTGGGTGGCTTAGTCGGTTAAGCGTCCAACTTTCACTTAGGTCACGATCTCGCGGTTCGTGGGTTCGAGCCCCGCGTCGGGCTCTGTGCTGACAGCCAGCTCAGAGCCTGGAGCCTGTTTCAGAGTCTGTGACCCCCTCTCTCTCTGACCCTCCCCTGCTCACACTGTCTCTCTCTGTCTCTCTCCTAGAAATAAATAAAAATATTAAAAAAAAAAATAGAGATTTCATTTTTAAGCCATCTCTATGCCCAACACAGGGCTTGAACTCACAACCCTGAGAGCAAGAGTCACACATGCCACTGAGCCGGCCGGGCGCCCCCTGAGAAGTCCTTCAAAGCTGAGCTTGCTGACCTTCTAGACAAGAGGCAGGCTGTGGCTCCAATGCGGGAGCAAAGGGCTCTGTCCCCAGGCCACTGCGAGAGCCCCTCCCTGAGGAGAGAGCAGAGGGGCCCCAGGGGCCCCCTCGGGGAGGGGTGACCTCCCGCTGCCCGCTGCTCTGGCCCACGGAAGAGATGGCAGGGAATTCTCAGCCTTGGATTCCTGGCCCCGGAGCAAGAGTCCTCGGCAGAACCGAAGAACCGAAAGCCCGACGGCCCCTCACCCCCCAGCGGCCGCTAACTCGCGCGCCCCCGCCGCTCCGGTCCCGGCCGCTGGGCCCTCTCCGCAGCCTCTCTCCTCCTCAGCCCGCCCTGCCCCCTGCCCGGGCACCGCCGGCCCTCGGAGTGCCCCCTTTCAGGCACACCATGGTCCCGGCTCCTTCTGAGGCCCCGCCACACCCGGGGGCCCCGAGCTGGGTGGGCACCCGGTAGGTGCATGGTGGGTGCGAGGTGAGCGGGGACTGAAGAAAGGCCAGAGCGGGTGCGTGCAGTGCAGCTGGACAGAAGAGCAGCCGCCAGCTGGGGTCGGCTTCATTCCCTGCAGGTCCCCAGGCACGGAGCCCAGCCCCCCGCGGCCCGGATCAGACGGCACGCACCTTGGCGAGGACAGTAACGAAGTCCTTGAGAGTCCGTAGCTCGGCCCCCGCCAGGGACTTGTGCGCCGCCAGCTCGACCCTCAGGAGGTAGTGCAGCCCCGACTCCAGGTCTGCCGTGTACAGCCTCGACCTGAGAGGGGACGTCGTCAGGCCAGCTAAGGACACCTTCCTCTTTCTGAGCGTTCCCATTCCTCGCTTCCAGCCCACAGGGACCCCCACACCCCACAGAGTGACACTGGCAACCCCTCAACAGCTGACAGCTCCGAGGTGTGCTTCTGAGTGAGTCCCACGTGCAAAGGAGCCACACAGCCGCAGCCACTGCGGCCACGCCACGCCACGCCCATGGCCACACCCACCCCAACAGCTCAGGTGTAAGAGGAATACCTGCCTGTCAAATTCTCTCCAAACCACGATTTCAGGACTGTCTGCTTTCTTAGGTTTGTCAGGCAACGAAAGCAGTTTTTTCCTCACATCTGGCAACGACTTCAAGTAAGAGGAAAAAAACGACCGGAGAGGCTTTCCGCTGCGAGAAAGGGCACAAGGTGTGAGCGGGGCATCCAAGAGCAAGGCTGCGGGGGGCGGCAGGGGGTCTGGGGGCGGTGCAGCCCGTCGACGGGCGGCGGGGGGAGCGCACGCTCTGGGGACATGTGAAGGCCGTCAGGAGCGCCTCCAGAGTAGCCGCGGGTCACACGTACCTGCGCTTGTTCCAGGAAGAACATAAGGCACAGATGTCAATTGACACCAATAGGTTGTACAGATGACGCTTTTCATAGAAAATGAACATTTTTCTTCAAAAGAAAATGGCATTGGGGCACCTGGGTGGCTCAGTCGGTTAAGCGTCTGACTTTGGCTCAGGTCATGATCTCACGGTTCGTGGGTTTGAGCCCCGTGTTGGGCTCTGTGCTGACTGACAGCTCAGAGCCTGGAGCCTGCTTCAGATTCTGTGTCTCCCTCTCTCTCTGACCCTCCCCTGATCACACTGTCTCTCTCTCTCTCTCAGATATTTAAAAAAAAAAAAAAAATTTTTTTTTTAAATTAAAAAGAAAAGAAAATGGCATTTTGTTGAGGGAAAGCCGTCGAGGGTACCGCCTGGCGTGGGCCTGGCCCTGGGCGCCTCTGCTGCAGGCCAGAGCCCCCGGTGTGTGACCCGATGACCTCACTGTCAGAGCCTGGCACTGGTGACCCACTGTGCAGAGGCCACCATCCTTCCCTGACTTCTGGTTCCTGAGAACAGAAACACGCCCGAAGGACTGGGGCTTGAGGCTCCGGAACCCGCTTCCCAGAAGCTGAACCAGGAGCCCCGGGGCGGAGACTCGGCCAGAACCGCTCAGTCGGCTCCGGCAGGCCCGCTGCAGCCACCACAGGCCCCGGGGTCCTGGCTCGCCTTCTCACCGGTGACCCTTCCCATAGGCTGTTTACTATGTCGTGGGCCCAGTGCAAGCTCACGGCGCCCGGATGGGTTCTGTGGTCGCAGCCGGGAGGAGGTGCATGTCATCTGGCCCAGAGGAGGCTCCCACACTTGGAAGGGTCCCCCAGATGCCAGCAGGTGTCACAGACACCTCTGAGGCCAAACTTACACGTTAACTAATCCATGTGACCCGTTTGGGTAAATCAAGTAGCAGGAGGGAACAGAGGTGACCCCAAGCCTCTCCAGGAAGGCTTTGTCTACGTCCAGCACTCTCTTCACCACGATGTTCTCGTACGGAAGCAGGTCTAGCATCACCTGGGGAAGGACAAAGTGACACTTCGCTGTGGATGGCCGCGTCTCAGGAGGCGTCACCTTGACCCAGCGCGAAAGCAGCATGAACCCAGGTAATGGAGTGAGGCGTGCGGTGCAGGTGGCCACGCAGCCTCCCAGACTCTCAAAGAAAACGTCTGTCGGTGAACTTGCCCTGGGCTTTCCGGGCCAGCACGTCCTCACACATTCACCACCTCGCCGGGAGATGGGGCCGCGCACCAGGAGGCTAACCTCATCCCCGACAGCAACGCGCCCACGGTCAGCCCCCGGAGGGCAGCCGGCTCTCGGCTGGCCGGTACCTCCCTCAACTGTCCCTGTCCCATCCTGCTTAAGCTGAAGGCACGGCGACGGGGACGCAGCAGCAGAAGGACCAGGGAGTGGCATCTCAGGAGCTGGGACAGTGTGACAGGTGGCCTGGCATCCCCTGACCTCTGTCACCCGCGGAACCAGCGTGTCCTGAACGAGGCGCTGCACCAGGCGCGACGCTCCCGGACTCCCGGGAGCCGATGCGTCTGTGGGGGCGGCCACGCTCGGGCCCAGTGGCAGGGGGCCCTCCTGGGAGGCTGCAGCCACCTGCCCCGGGGAGCGCACCCCCTTCCCGTGCGCCCGAGAACACAGGTGAGGGAGGCGTGGGGGGGCACACTCTCCCGCTGGGAGTCCTCACCCCAGCGAAGGCGGGACTGCGTCGCGTCACCACTAGACCCGGAGGGCACAGGGAGGGGTGAGGCGCACGGGGAGGGGTGAGGCGGGCAATCTAATGTCTGCAGCCGCCGCCGCCGAGCGCACGCCAGCAGGAGCAGAGGAGGGGAGCGCGGGCTCCGCCTGCGAGGCGCTTCCTCCGGGAGGGTTTCCCGTCACAGCCCGCGTGTCGGGCCAGAGGCGAAGGCTTGGGAGCCGCACGTGAGAAACGAGAGCAGAAAAGCGCCACAACAGGAGACACGCTTCACAGACCCTTGGGTTTGGCAAAAAAATTGGGCGTTCACAGCCCAGCCGAGAACCTTGCCGGCAGCGCGTAAGAAATAAAGAAGGGCCTCAAGGGAAAAGGCAGTGTGCCCTGGAAACGGGGTGTGGGGGCCCCCTCGACCCAACCTCGAGGACGAGGCTGCCCTCGCGAGCCCGCTGCCTCACCTCGGACGCCCCTGCCGGCAGCCCGCAAACCGGCCACGGCGCCGAGCATCGCGCCCACATTCCCGGGATGGAGGAGGGAGGAGTGGGAGCAGCACAGGCTGGTGGACACGGGCGTCCCCGCACAGCCGCCGTGTCCCACCACAGGCTAAGAGGGGAAGACGCGACGTGGTACCTCCCGTCCCACGTAGGAGCTGTTGTTCTCAAACAAGATGGCCACGTGGCGGCCGTCGCGGCGGTCCAGGAGGGAAAGAACGTCACTGGGCCTTTTAAGAGAAAAAAAGAGGCTTTTAGGGCTTCCGAGAACGGTGAGCTGGCCGTCGCACTCCAGGGCCCGCGTCACGGAGCGCAAATGCACGCTCCACGCACGCCCCCTCCGCACACAGGCACGCACCGGATGGGCTCCAGGCGCGGGCAGGCCGGAGGCCGGAGGCCGTCCGTGTGGTTCTGCAGGAAGTCGATCATCGTCCGCCTCACCGTCTGCAGCTCTCGGTCAGGCCCTGTGGGGAGCCACGCGGCCGTCACCATCCCGCAGCCCGGGGCCCCACGGGGCACGCACGGGGCTCGCCGGTGGCCGCCCTGAGACGGCGGTGGGTTCACACACGGGAGACGGCTCGTGGGAACAGATGGGCAGTGGGGGCGGATCCCCCCACGGCGTGGGGACGCAGCGGCCAGGCGCGCCTCAGTTCCACCTACGCCACGTTCCAGGCAGGCACCGTGACCTCGGATGCAGAGCCGCTGCCGCCGGGGACGGGCCGGTCGCGTGCTGGAGCCTCGCCTGGGCGCTGGCTACCAGGGCGGCTCATTCATAAAACGCATGAGGTGAACACTGGTGATCTGTGCGCCTCTCCAAATATTTTCTGAATAAAGAAGTTTACTTAAGGGGCGCCTGGGTGGCTTAGTCGGTTGAGCGTCCGACTTCAGCTCAGGTCATGATCTCGCGGTTCGTGGGTTCGAGCCCCGTGTCAGGCTCTGTGCTGACTGCCAGCTCAGAGCCTGGAGCCTGTTTCAGAGTCTGTCACTCCCTCTCTCTCTGACCCTCCCCTGCTCACGCTCTCTCTCTTTCAGAAATAAATAAAACAAACAAACAAAAAAGAAAGGTGGGTGGGACGGGACTGCGCAGGTGTGTGTGAGGGGGGCAGACGGACCCAGCAGGGCAGGGCTCGCTGTGCCCTGAACCACCCCTGCTTTAACAGCTTTAGGAGGCGACCCTGAGAGAGTAAGAGAAAGCTGACGTCCTTACCTTTAAAGTTTTCTCCAGTTGAAAAGTCCTTCGTAAATGCCTTGAAATACTAAGGGGAGACACAGGACAAATAAGAAAAGCCTCACCTGGCGTCTGTGCAAACATTTAGGCCAGACAGCGACCATCGTCTTAGAGAGAGAGCTTAGTTCGTCTGCTCGGGATCCCGTTAACTGATGACGAGCCGCAGGCTTTGAGTGCGCCCGCGGGCGTCAGGTTTCCACAGCGCTGGGGGGGGGGTACCAACCGGAGTTCGGTTATTTACGTTTCCTGCCCCCACGCGGCTGGAGGCCAGACGGCTCATCCGGCGCCTTCCCTGACTCTTGGCATCAAACACGCATCCTAACGGGCGGCTCTAAGACACAAAGGATCTACAGGGAGAAGATGCTGCTGAGCGTCTTTGTGCGGAAGAAAAGGATTCTATATGAAAATTAAAAACGCTCTTCACTAAAAAAGATGTTAAAGACCGTGAAGAGACCGTTATATACTGGGTGAAGATATTTCCAGTTCTCACAACTGAAAAAAAGTTTAGTATCGGGGCGCCTGGGGGGCTCAGTTGGCTGAGTGTCCGACTCTTGGTTTCGGCTCAGGTCATGATTGCACAATTTCATGAGTTCGAGCCCCACATCAGGCTCTGCACTGACGGTGTGGAGCCTGCTTGGCATTCTCTCTCTCTCTCTCTCTCTCTCTCTCTCTCTCTCTCTCTCTCTCTCCCCCCCCCCATCTCTCTCTGCCTCGTGACACTGGGCCCGTGAACAGAAGATGTGGCTTGGTCACGGGTCAGCCACGTGTGAGTGCTCCCAGCAGCCACACCTGGAACAGCTCTGGTGCCAGCCATGGGGCGGGGCTCACCAGGAAGGTGGGGGGGGACGGGCTCACCCGGAAGGTGGGGTAGAAGTGGACGTCGTAGGCTCGGCACACCTCATGGTTCTTCTCCTCTGCGCAGTCCAGGGCGGCGACCCGGATGGCAGCAGCCCAGTCTGAAAAGCAGGAACGGGGCCTTCAGTGCCAGGGTCCGGCCCTCATCCATGCGGCCACCGGCCCTCACCCCGCAGGCCAGCGTCCAGCCCTGGTGGGCACCGGTTGGGAGGGGACAAAGCTTCCGCGGGCTGGCAGGGTCTCCCGTCACCGCCCACATGCAAACTGCTCCCGCTCCTAACCGGCGCCTGACCAGCGGGTCTGTCTGGGAAGTGCCTCCCGCTGTCCCGCCGCCGGTCCTGGGGGCAGAGCAGCAGCCGTGGTAAACCTACGTTCTGCCCGTGGTTACTGGCTGCATTAAGGGAAAGTCCCGGAAGGGAAAACCACCGAGGGGGCGCCATGCCACCCCACGACTGTCAGCTCAGCGTCAACAGCTATCTGCTCCCCCCAGGCTCGCTCCCGCCACAGCCCCGCCCCCAGGTCACAGCCAGCAGTGGCCCCGGTCACCCCGAGTCACACAGACACCCTCTCTACTCTGGGCTCACGGCTCCCTAACTGCTCTGTTTTCCCTGTGAGCGTCGGATCCGGAGCCTCCGACTGGCAGGTGAGTCTCACCTCCCGCTCCTCAAACCCTGCACATCCTCATTGAAGACCCTGGTCTTCTGTCCCGCAGCTCCCACCATCGGGCTGTGCTGGCTGCACCCCCGGCCCCTGCATCTTCTGGAACTTGCACACCTTTGGGGAGATGGCTTCCCAGGCGGCGATGCACGCTCTCACCAGGAGGTGGGTGACCTCTGCCCGCCCTCCTTCTTACTGATGGCCCCCTGAACGCACGAACTCCTGAAGGCTGCAGCCTGACAGGGTGCCCCATCCCTCCCCCACTTCACTTGTGGGCGGGACCCTGTTGTACAAAGGAACCTAGCTCACGGAGACCCTGAGGCACGGTCTGCAAGGAGACAGGTGTTCGGCTGGGCCCAGTGGTCACCAGGCTCAAAGGCATGGCTTCAACATCCTCAAAAAGTGAGTTTCTGTCTTTAAAACATTTGATCCTGGGGCACCTGGTGGCTCAGTTGGTTAACACCTGACTCTTGATTTCAGCTCAGATCATGATCTCACAGTTCATGAGTTCAAGCCCCGCATCAGCCCCTCCCTCTCTGCCCTTCCCCAGTGCACACGTGCTCTCTCTCTCTCTCAAAATAAATACATAAACTTAAACAAAAATTAAAAAACAAATGAACATTTGATCCTTTTCCCCATGGTTCCGGTTATACCGCCAAGCACCCCCAGCCCCTGAGGGGACTGCACGGCCACGGCCACATGGCCCAGGCGGGGCCCATCAGGGAGGCAGGTGGAGACCCAGGCGCTCCACACGACTGGCCTGGGGCACTGGCTGCCGCTCACGGTGTCCTGCAGGCCGATGGCTTCTGAGCGGGGACGCACTGCCGTCCCCAAGATACTGACCCGGCTCTTCGCTACCTTGTGATCAGACTGGCTTAAACCAGTAATCTGGTGACAAATCACATCACGGGTCTTTCCGGGTACCGGCTACGAGCCTAAACTTCAGAAGTTACGTTAGAAATACGCTGGAAAGAGTGAGAATATCACTTGTGCTTAAAAGGAGGCCTTCTCCTCCAGAATTACAAACCAGATTTACCAATACATGTATTTTTAGATTATTTATGTTGACAGAGAGAGAGGCCGGGGAGGGGCGGAGAGAGAGGGAGAGCGAGAACCCCAAGCAGGCTCCGTGCTGTCAGCACAGAGCCCAACTCGGAGCTCAAACCCATGAACCTTAAGATCACAACCTAAGCCGAAATCAAGAGTCAGACGCTCACCTGACCGCGCCCCCCCGGTGCCCACAAGTTACCAATATTAGGAATATGGCATGAAGGATCCAGTGAAAACAAGCACAGCCGTCTTTCACACCGACGGCCAAGCACCGTTCCGCCTGTTCCTTCCCTGAAACCGGCTCCAGCCCCGAGGCCATTTTACCTGCACAGAACGGGAGTCACAGGGACCTTCCTGAATCACAGGTCACTTCTTGCTGGAGTCTCAAATTACATGGGACTAAGGGAGAACAGTTAATACTCTCATCCAATTAGTGCAGCAGATGGCCCAGCGCACGGGCTCAGCACCGTGTGAGTGGCATCCTCCACGGCACGGCCCCCCACCTCCCACGCGGCTCCCCCCATGGCACGGCTCCACGCGGCTCCCCCACGGCGTGGCCCCCCCCCCCCCGCGCCGTGGCCCCGCCCTGCAGCTTCCCTGCTGGGGGAGCCCTCCCCCAGCCTGTCATCCTTGCTCCTGTCCCCACTCATCTGGCCAAAGCACCTCCTGTTTGCTGCCTCTTTCTTGCCTCACAAACGCAGGGTTTCACTTTTTATTGGGAATTTCCATGGCACACTTTTAGTTCACGCTTAAAAAAAAAAGCACCTACTACCCAGAAAAGGTTTGTAAGAAAGTGAAAACCTGCCCCGAGGGCTGGCACCAAGCACTAGGTACAAGCAAGCCGACTAGACACAAAAAAAGACGCTAAGAACGTGCTCCGAGAGGCTCCCCGTGCTCTGGCGTTCACGGCGGGACTCGGTCCGACCTCCTCGTTCTTGAGATTTTCCTACTCGGTTCGTCTTCCGTGCAAAGGCAAGCCTGCCCCCAGCCGGGCCCCCGGTGTGGACGGAGACCGTGGCCCGCGCGCATGTGGTCTGCGGGCTCCGCGTTCTGCTTGTTTCCACCTCCCGGAGCCCCCGGTGTGAACGACCTCCACCCACAGATCGGCCGCCACGGGTCCCGGCGCCGCAGCTGACTATGACGCCAAGTCAAGTCTGACCCGAGGCCACGGTGGTGCCGACCACGTTTTAATAACCCTCCCGAGAGCGCGGGAGACCAAGAGGCCACGCGAACACACAGGCTTCTCACAGGGCTGGGGGGAATGGCTGTCGGCCCCGCGCCCAACAACTCTGCGCCCCCGGGGGGCTTGTCGGGCTCTGCAGCACCCGGCCCCAGATCAGGGCGAGGTCTGGAAACCGCCCCCGCCCCCGTCCCTGGCCCCTGGCACGTACGCACGGCCAGCGCTCAGCACACAGGGTACAGCCTGTGCTCCTGGGCAGCGCCCCCACCAGACCTCCTGTGCGCCCGACCCCAGCTGCTCTGCTCCTTCTGGTGGACCCCGTACCCCCCAAGGCCCCAGCATGTAAGGCCCCAGCTCCCTCCACGGTAAGAGCCCTGTGCCTTCTCAGAACTGAATCACGGGATTCCTTCAATCCTAACCTTGGTGGGAAGGGGCCCCGGAGGGTGCCTAGCCCCCAGCAAGGCATATGGTCTGCAGGTGAGATCACTTCCTGTGTGTCCCCGGGACCTTTCCAGGTGGAGCACTTTGCGGCACATCTCATCAGCTGACCTGTACCCTCCTCTCCCTCCCTCACTCCTCCCTTCAAGCCACAGACAGGTCTGAGCACACTCCTGCCCCAGGACCTTTGCACCTGCTCTTCCTTGGGTGGAGCACACTTTCCTCTGGTCTGTGCTTGCTGCTTTGTCAATTTCAACACAAATGTCACCTCCACAGAGAGGCCTTCCTGATTCCCTGACCAAGCACAGTTAACCCGGCAAGAAACGCCCTCCACCAGCCTTGCTTCCAGAACAAAGGAAACTACACAGAGCCTTATGTTTTCTTACATCACCTACCACGGAAGCCTGTGAAACAGGCAGGACGTGACGGATGAGGAGGCTGGGGGTCGGAGAGGCTGAGGGACGCGCCCTGGGCTCAGAATCACTGCCCATCGCCCACTGTTGCAGCCGCAGAGCACACGTGCCAGGTGTGCGCCGACCGGCAGGTTCCTCCAGGTGCCGGGAGCGCCTTCCCAGAGCAGTCTCCTCTCTCCACCCTACTACCTGCAGATGGGGGGACACTCCCCTGGCCCCACCCGCCCCTCCCGCCCCGCTGGCCCTGCGCGGTCACACGTGGAGGGAGCCAACTGCCTCCCCACGGCGCCTACCTCCTCAGCGAGCCCTGCACACGGCGCTCCCCTTAGACGCACAGGGAACCCGCTCTTTGTGAACATGGCCCCTCCTTGTACCGCCACCGTCTCTCCCTCCCTCGACGGCGGCCGTATCCGTGCGCAGGAACCCTGCTGGGCGGTGTGGAGCCCCAGCCTGAGCAGGACGCAGGCGGCGCGCACAGAAGCCCCGGCACCACCAGGCCGCGCCCCGCCCAGCACGCCGCCGTGTCCCCTGGCGCTTTGTGGTACTCGGTGAGCTAAATGCGCTCTGGTCCATGCGGTCTCAGCTAAGCCTCACACCCGAGCCTGGGATGTGACCGTCACCACGCCCCCCTCCACAGGGGACAGAGCCGAGCTCAAAGGCCCCCGAGGATAAGTGAGGGTGCCCAGCATGTGCCCCCCACCCGGCCCCCCAGCTGCCCCGGCCACGGGGAGCCCTCTGCCCCCAAGCTGAGCCATCCTTTGACCCTGAGACAGTAACGAGGTGGCTAACTGTCCTCACTTCCCAGGCCCCTTCTGCTTCAGGACATTCGTGACACATTTAACCTGCAGGCTACGCACCTTCCCAGGGAAGGGTGGGGAAGCTTTTCCACCTGACCGATGGGACGCCTGGGCGGAGTCGCAGGAGAGGCGGTGGGCGGTGGCAGCACCCTGGGAGCCGTCCTGGGTGCAGGCAGCCAGCACCTGCCAGTCCTCCATCAGGACGGCTCCCCACGGTCCTGGGAGCAAGCTCCCCCTCAACCGGCCACACCATCCAGAGAAGCGCTTTTGTCTGGTCCCGTGGCCTTGGTGCGTTTCACCTCCCACGTGGCCCCAGCAGCTGCACCGCACATCCGCCCAGGTTCTTAGAAGTCACGTGCCGGCGTGTCCTGGCCTCCGCGCCCTTTCCGGAGCCCACTTCCTCGGCCTTCCCGGTGTCCCCGGGGTGGCCTGCCCTGTGTGCCGCGGCACCGAGGACTCCGTCTGGAGGCAGAGGTGCAGCCCACACCCTGCTCCGTCTCCTCCCAGGCTCGCAGACTCTAACTCAGCCGCCGCGCCTGGAAGACAGAAGCCAGGGAACCACCCTC